CCTGCTTTCAGCCAAGATCCATCTAACATCAGCTACAATATCTCTAGTACCACGACCCCTTCTAAGCCCAGCCTGGACTTCTAGTAGTTCTCTGTTGATGTGCTGTTCCAGTAGTTTTTGGATAATCTTCAGTAATGTTGCTTGCATGTGAAATCAGTGAGATTGTTCTGTAGTTTCCACATTCTGTTGGGTCACCTTTCTTTGGGATAGGAACAAATATCGTTTACAGAGATTTGGGATTTCCATTCATTCATTATTGCATTTTTCTCCCTGCTCACCCCTTCCCCCAGTTCGCTCTTCTCTTTGAAAAGTAAAAGAAAAAATCCTTCATTGCTATATTTTAAAGGGAACTCTGCTGGTCTAGAGAGTAAGGATCTATGCTGGCAACCTAAAGACAGGTAATTCGAATCCAACACCTGCTCCTTGGGAGAAACATGGGCAATTCCCTCCTGTGTGATTACAGCCTCTGAAAATCCAAGCTGGTCAACTCTGAGTGAGTTCTGGCTGGACGGCACATAACACAGCAGCAACATGTATTTTTAACCAGGATCTTCTAAATTTTTCTTTTTAGATCAGCTTATCAAGATTTTATTTCTTCTGAATTTTGAGTTAAAAAGCTTTCTGCACACTCACCAGAGTTTAAAAAGAATTTACTCTTTTTTTTTTTAAGGATTTGTTTGGTTGGTTTCTCTTTTACATTTAGATTTTCAACCTATTTGGAATTTATTCTTGTATATGATGTAAAGGGAGCTCTGGTGGCCCAGTGGCAAGAAGCTGCACTGCAATCCTGAAGGCACGAGGTTTGAGGCCACCAGCTGCTCTGCAGGAGGATGGGCAATCTCCTCCCATGTGATTAACTGCCTCTGGAAACCCACCAAAGGGTCAGTTGTGGGTTGGTTATGACTCGATGATACTACAAAACAACAATAACATGTGATGTAAAGCATAGGCCTTACTTTATGTTTTTTCCTAAATGGCTACTCAGTTGTGGCAGCACTAAATGTTTTAAAATCTTGACTCAATGGATTGGAATGGCATTTTGGTCATATACCACATTTCCACACACCCAAAGGTCTATTTTTAAGCTTCTGATTCTGTTCCACCAGTATTTTTGTCAATTCATGCACCACAATGTTTTAATTATAGAGTGTTCTGTTGTTACTGTTGTATACCATCAAGTTGGAATTGATCTACAGCTGACCCTTCAGCAGGTTTTCAAAGGCAGTAAATCACATATCATTATAGATCGAGAAAAAGACTGAAATTGTCAACTATTTCATCTTATTAGTATCCACAATCAACACCCTTGGTACCAGCAGATAAGAGATCAGAAAATGTATTGTATTGGCTAAGTCAGCTTTCAGGGACTTCTCCAAATTACTGAGGAGCAGTGATATCATTTTGATGACTAAGGTGCGCCTGATTCAGGCGATGGTTTCCTCAATCACTTGCTATGAATGTGAGAGCTGGACAATGACTAAGGATGACAGAAGAATAATTGATACCTTTGAGTTGTGGTGCTGGAGAAGACTACTAAGTATCCTATGGATAGTCAAAAGAACAAATAGATAAGTATTGGAGGAAAGGTGCAACCAGAGTGCTCCTTGAAGGGAAGGATGAGGGAACTTCATCTCACATATTTTGGACACGTTGCTAAAAGAAGCTATTCCTTGGAAAGGGATGTCATGGAACGAAAAGTGGAGAGTCAGCAAAGGAGAAGGAGGGTTTAAATGACACAAACTGACACTGTGACACCAGCAATGGACTCAAGTGTGTCAGAGATGATGAGGCTGGCACAGGATAGTATCCGGTTTACATCTGTTGTTCATAGGATTGCTATGAGTTGTATTAGACTTGATGGTATCTAACAACAACAAAAATCACACAAGAGGAGACTGCCCATCTTTCTCTTGTGGAACAGCTGGTGGATTCAAACCACACACCTACATTGGCAGTGTAGGTCCTTACCACTAAAGCCATCAGAGCTCCCTATACTTGTTAAGCAAGTCCATCTTTTCATTTTTCTGGCTATTGCATGTTTGTTTTCCCACATGAATTTAGTATCCTCTTGTCTTACTCCATAAAAGAGGTTCTTGAGATTTTACTGGAAGTGCATTCCATTTATAACTGACATTTTTACAGTGGTGAATATTCCTATTTAAGTTCAGGGATAGCTTCCCATTTTTTTCTACTTTTGGAGAAGACTTTTTCCCTAGTCATTGCTATGATGGCTTGGGAAATGGCAAGCACATAAATTGAGCACAATAAATATTTGCCTAAAAATTATATTAAAAAATGTCTATGCTGATTACATACATATTCCTTTTGCTCCTATTTTAAGGTTCACCTCAATTATGTCTAATCAGTGGTTTGGCCCTGAAGATGTGTATGGTTTATTTAGGAAGAAAATGTCATATGCAGCATACTTAAATAACACTGGAGCTCTGGTGGCCTAGTGGGTAAGGAGTTGCACTGTCAACCCCAAAGCAGACATTCTGAATGCACTATCTGATGTGTGAAAGAAAGATGGGCAATTGTCTCCTATGCAACTTATAGTCTCTGAAAACCCACTCGAGGGTCAGCTATTAATTAGTTAATTCAAATTTGACAGCACCTAACATTAACCTTTAATACCAAAATGTTGGAAAATGGTACATATTAAACAGGTTAAGAGACAATATATGCTACACTCAGGTGGCAATATTCTTCACAAATAATAAAAAGGAAAAAAATTAACTATACCTGAAAAGTACAAAAAATCCAAATCAACACAAAACTACAAGCAAAGACAGATATTCTAATAATATCTTCTAGTATTACCTATCTACTAGAGTGGCCGCTGATACTCTTCTGTGTCATAATATCTCACTAATTAATTTTACATCTTTATCAAACGAAAAAAGAAAAAGATGCTGTTACTTGAAATCCAGAGTCTCCTAGAGATAACAATATTACCTTCCATTCTGTTGAGGCTGGAGAATATCTAAGAGGAGCTGTTTAACTTCACTAGGTGACAGCTGATAGAGGTCTAATGCTGGCATGTCTCCACCACGGATCTGTAGCTCATACTTCATAGCATGAATGATCCACCTGAAACAAATCAGAAGTCTGAGTCAATATAGCTCAAAATGAAATCACCTTTTGCTTCTTGCTAAGTCCCTTAACATCACTGATCCAATTAAAGGGGAGTGCTAAGAATCTCTTAGAAATGAGGGAAGATTGAGGCCAAGACAAATGGAGGCCACCAATACGTAAAGGAGACCAGGACCTTTCTACTAAAATGTGAGCAGAGAGAGAGAATATGAGTGTCGTTGTCTGGAGCTCGTTGTTCTTGTGGACGATTATTCACAGAGATCCAATGAAGAAGAGATCAAAACCTTTTCCTACCTTGGGCCAGCCTCATGATCTCCACCATATTGCACTCACTGTGTCAAAATACGTTTCCTTAAGGGTCTTCCTCTCTTTCACTGACCTTCGACTGTACCTAGCATGCCATCTTTTTCCAAGGACTGGTCTCTCCTGACCATATACTCAGCGGTTTCAGCAGTTAAACAAAAGTTGGGTGAAGACTGTGGAACAGACTGTCAATTGTTCATATATAAATTAAAACTGAAGCTAAAGAAAATGGAAACAAGTCCATGAGAGCCAAAATACAACCAGGGGTTTATCCCAGTTGAACTTTAAAACCATTTCAGGGATAGATTTGATGCATTGAAAACCACTGATCAAATTCCAGATGAGTTGTGGGATTTTATCAAGGATGTCACGCATAAGGTAAGCAAGAGGTCATTAAACAGACAAGAAGGAAAAACAATACCAAAATTAACGTCAAAAGAGACTCTGAAACTTGCTCTTCAAAGTCAAGAAGCTAAAGCAAAAAGCAGAAATTATGAAATATGAAAGCAGAACAGGAGATTTTAAAGGGCAGCTTGAGATGATCAAGTAGTATAAGGAAATCTGAAAAAAGCTGCAGTTAGAAAACCAAAAAAGAGTAACACACTTGGCATTTGTTAAGCGGAAAGGGCAGAGGGGAGAGCCTCAAGTCACAATACTGAAGGATTCTATGGCCAATATGCTGAGTATTACAAGAAGCATCAAAAGGAGATGGAAAGAATACAGTCATTAAACAAAAACAAACCAAAAAAATGGTTGAAGCGGAACCGTTTTAGGAAGTAGTCCCTAGAGCTAGCACCTTAAACTTGGACTGATGACAGAAGAATTGATGCCTGGGAGTTGTAGTGTTAGAGAAGAGGACTGAACATCCCATGCACTGACAAGAGAACAAATAGATATGTCTTAGAGAAGGTGCAATCTGTTTTTCAAAGACAAGGATGGTAAAGCTTTATTTCACGTACTTTGGGCATACTGTTAGGAAGGGCTTTTTCCTGGAAAGGGATATCAGGCTTTGGAAAGGTGGAGAATCCGTGAAAGAGAGGAAGACCCTCAGATGAACTGACACAGTGTCTACAGCAATGGGCTCAAGTCTGTCAGTGATGAGGATGGCACAGCCTAGGACAGGGTTCAGATCTGTGTTCACAGAGTTGCTGTGAGTCATATTTGAGTCTATAACACTACAAAAACATAACACATGGTGAGAAAATAAAAGTTTCTTAAAATCATCTATGTTTGGTCTATCTGTTTATAGCAGTGCTATCTCACTATGACAGGTTTTGGTACCAGGCATAGGGTACTGTTCTAATAGATATCTAAAACATGAAAGTGGTTTTAGAATTGGGTAATGAGTAGAGGGTGGAAGATTTTTTAAGTACCTAACAGACTCAGAAGAGGACGTGGAAGGAGGGTATAACTGCTGATGTTAGTGGATCTTGGTGCAAAGTAGAGAGTACCAGAAAGAGGGTCATCGGTGTCTTTTGTAAAGATATTTGGCTATGGAGATAAGACCATACAAAATTATGGATGACACTGTGAAGAATGGAAATCACCGAGCACTTAAATGTTCTCATGTAGGACCTGTATACAGACACAACTGCACTGATAGGCAGTATCATGATGGAAAGAGAAAACACTGAAACTGCCAACAACTTCATCTTACCTGGATACAATTAACAGCCTTGATACCAGCAGTCAGGGAATCAGAAGACATATTGCATTGGGAAAGTCTACAGTCAGGGACCTCTCCAAATAACTGAGGAGTAATGCTGTCAGTCTGAGGACTAAGGTACTGCGGCAGCAAAGTCTCTTATGACACCCTCTAAGAGGAGAAGCAGGAAGTCCTGTGTGGGAACCAGTGCAAACACAAAGTTTTTGGAAATGGTGGAGCTGCAGATCAGTTTGAAGAACTATGACTCACAAAAGAACAAATGCTTCTTGGGGACTGTCAGACTCAAGCTCACCTCGTACCCCAAGTTCTCTGCACATATTCTCAGGCACTGTGATGAAGCCAAAGTTTTGGATGTCCCCCACATGGACATCAAAGTGCTGAAGAAACACAACAAAAATAAGACACTGGTCAAAAGCTGGCCAAGAATGATGATGTCTTTTTTTGCCCTCTGAGTCCCTCATCAGGTAGAGCCAAAGAATCCAGGGTCCAGGCCTGAATAAATCTGGCAAGCTAGCTCCTTTCTGTGCTTAGCCACAATGAGAACATGGTACGTGAGGTGAAGTCCACCATCAAAATCCAAATGAAAAAGGTCTTGTGTCTGGCAGAGCCTGCTGGCCATGTGAAGATGACAGATGATGAACTTGTTTACAACAGCTTTCTGGTTTCACTGCTAAAGAAGAACTGGCAGAATGTCTGGGCTTTGTACATCTCTTATACATCAAAAGTACCACAGACAAGCCCCAGCATCTGTACTAAGATATAGCTCAATAAATTTTACTGTTATTTTAAAAAGTAAAAAAAAAAAAAAAGCCGAACAAAGTGACTCTGCATAGTTTAAAACTAGCAAAGTTTTGTATTATGGTTGTATCCTTTCACCACACTTATTCAATCTATACGTTGAACAAATAATCCGAGAGGCTGGACTATATATACCTCAGTACCAAGATCGGAGGAAGACTCATTAACCAACATTAGGCAGATAATACAAACTTGCTTGCTGAAAACAATGAGAACTTGAAGACTTACTGATGAAGATCAAATACCAAAGATCTTCAGCATGGATTGTGCTTCAACGTAAAGTAAACAAAAATACTCTTAACTGGATTGACAATAAACATAATGATAAACAGAAAAATACCAACAATGTCAGGGATTTAATTGCACTTGGATCCAAAAGTAACACCTTTGGGCACTCTCAGGAAATCAGAGAATGTACTGGGTGAATTCACTGCAAAAGACCTTTTTAGCATTTGGTCCACAGAGCTGTATGGACAAGCTTTTCCTAGCTGTACAATGAGGACACTAATACTTATTTTTTAAAAAAATGTTAAAAATCAAAGATATCACTTTGATGACCAAGGTGTGCCTAGCCCAAGTCAAAGTTTCTTCCACTCCTTTATATGTATATGAGAGCTGGACAATGAATAAGAAACACTGAAGAAAAAATATGAATAGGGATTATCAATAAGGAATAGAGCCAGGATCAGAGTACTTGTGTTGGACCCAGGGTCCTTGTCTTAAGAACCTTTAAACCCAGGAACATTTATGTCAAGATGTGTGGAGATACCCACATGGGATTTCTATGTCAAGACCAGAGACACTGAATTAAAAACGTGATAAGCATCTTTGAGGCAACAAACAGAGAAAGCTTCCTCTAGAACTAGTGCCTGGAATTCAGAATCCTAGCCTTTCAAAACATGAGAGTATGCATTTATTTGTTAAAATGATTCTCTTATAATAGTTCTGTTATAGCAGCACAAGGTAACTAAGACAGTAGAAAACGATATACAACTAGCTGCCAAAATAGAAAATATATAAACTGTAAGTAAATATACACACACACACGGTAAGTAAATACATATATATACTATAAGTAAATAAATATATTTATATGTTAGATCTCTGCAAAGAAGCACACAGAATATAAATAATTCATTTCCAGAAATGGGCTGTAATGCAAATGTCTTTCCCCAGGAATAGTTCGAGGTATAATTCCTTTAGTTTGAAGTTGTTCCCTCATATTATGAGGAGACAGAGGGCTAGGTTTGAAATAAAGGGGCACAATTACTTATAACTTAATTATACTGGCGGAGTGAAGAAAATATTTTAACAAATAAGTTTCAAAAGAACCAAGTAGAATTATATGTACTTAATTTTCTTTTTTAACTTGTGAAGCTTTAAAGGAGCATTCTGCCAATTTCATCTCATTTCATTCATATGCTATATTATGAAGAAAAATTCAGATAAACTAGTTATGAAAACTGAAGGCAACCTTGGAAATAATACCGTGCCTTAGGGAATCAAAGCTCTATGCACTATTAGAAAAAGCCACACAATTTCTTTTTCATGGACAACTCATATGTTTTATCTTACAATTACTGAGTAATAGACTGTACAGCTCATCATCTGGAAAGCATACGTTCTTGACCATGCATACCCTCTAATTCCCAAATGGAAGACCTGTGGCTAAGACCAACAAAAAGGTTAGGTATAGCATCAAATATTGAAGGTGGCAAAGCCACCACACCTAGATATATCAGAATCTTTCTCTTAATATATTTCCTTATAACCTACAAGGCTATTACTGCAAGTACACAGATGGAAAAAATATATAATCAATCAGATTAAGGTTTAGTTTTTTGTTTTATGGGGTTTTTAAAAAACGAAAGATTAGCAAAAAACTAACTCATCCTCACAACACGACATTATTGTCTTTCAGTGTAAAGAATAGTTTTTAAAAAAGAATTAAAAGTTTTGTTCTTCCAGTTGAGGCAGCAATGTTATCAGTCAGGTGTCTATCCCTACTTGCTGGGTTAAATTATACACAAGACACAGGTCTTTGCTCTTTGAGTGTTTACAATTTCACCACCCTCTGCCGAGACAACTTACACCCCTTCTCCCCCCCACCCCCATCTCCCTAAATATTCACTATAGGAAGGTGGACAGACCCTTCCTGATTTTAAACCATGCAGTGTTCCCTTGTTCCATTCAGAGAACAGTTTCTTGGTCTAGGTATAGATTGCATATA